CAGTTGCCTGAGGACACAGTTGCCTGAGGACCTATCATTGTCTTCAAAGCATGCAGAGCCATCAACATTAATGAAGCCTCCTGGTTTACTGAAGGAAGAACACATCTTTGCCAGTTTGACCAGATATATAGCTGTCTCCAGTGACCATCTTCACTGCCCTGCAGAGATGCTGAGGGCTTAGGAAGCTGCTTTGTCTATGATGTAGGGCTGTCTATTTCTCAGACCAGGTTGGATGCGGAACATGGGTCAAATAGGGTCCAATAGGTTTTGGCTGGTCACTCATTCTGGCGTTAGGGTCAGCGTTCAGATTGGTTTGTTGTGTGACAGAGACTGGTTGTTTCCTCCTTTCTTCTGAGTAAATAGAGTACATTTCCCAAACTCTCTTGCAATTAGCTGTGGCCACATGACTAAATTCTAGTTAGTTGATGGATCATGATCAGAAGTGATGTGCCCCACCTCAAGCCTGGCCCCTTAAAACCCTCATAGGCTATTATCCATGATCTTCTTCTTTCCATGCAACCCTGGGAATCATGCATTGAAGATGTCAGAGTCACAAGATGGGAGGCATCATGAATCACTATATGGAGGAGAAGCAGCAGCCAATCACGGAAACCCATTTTGGACTGTTCAGGAGTAGAAATAAGTTGTAGAGACTTAACCTGTTACAGCAGCTAGCAGTATCTTCAGTGCAGATGTCCAAGATCTGTTCTGCAAGAGGATGGCCTTTCTATCATCTTATACAGATTGTTGTTTTTGTTTGAGCACTTGCTCAGTGAGTGAGTATCAGGTCGTTACATGGATGCTTTGGTTCACTTCTATCACCAACCCTTTGAGGCCCTTACTAGCATCATCTCCACTTGTAAGATAAGAAAATAGGTTCAGATGGGTAAAATCACTTGCCCAGAAACACACAGCCAGTAAGTGGCAGAGCCATGGTTATAATCAGATCAGTCTGGCTTTGGACTTATAGTTATTAATCATAATGTTCAATTGTCGTTGACCTCATAGTCACTTTCCCCCTCATCATGGGTGCCTGACTGGAGCTTTCCACTCCTGCATAGATCTTGGAAGACCAGGATGGACCTGGCACATGCATGGGTTTATCTGAGACTGCACAACTATGAGGTGATTTTCCAGAGGGTATTTTGAAACCCACCACATGTTGCTAGATGTCATAAGGCTTCATGGCTTAGTCAGAATTCTTTCATAGCTGTGGCTGCAGCTTGGGGAACTATAGTTAGAAGTGCAGGAAGAACATGGGGAGGGGTAAAGAACAGAATCTCTGCAAGACAATCCCGTTGGTGGGGAGGCTGCTTTATTGGACAGGAGCCTGACTCAAAATGAGAAGTGAAGTTCTTCTGCTAGCAGGGTGGCACCAGAGGAGCTGTGATATTTCAGGCCTTTCTTGGGATGAGTTGACTACAGTGCCTCACATCGAGTGGCTTGTAGTTCAGTTGAGTTGGAGATGCATATGCTGGGATATATACCATGGGAACATGGAGCAGTGAGCAATTCTAGGCTGTGGCATCCACAAAGCCTAGATGGCATCCACAAAGCCTAGATGGCAAATTCTAGGCTTTGTGGATGTGACCACATCCACAAAGTCTCCATGGCAGAGGGAGGCTGTGTCAGTTCAGCAAGTTGACAAGAGGACAAAGGGCAATCCAGACAAAAGAACTGCATGTTCAGAGACATCCTTAACACAGTGTGACAGACTCAGGAAGTCAGGGGTGGCCTAAGGCATATGAGCCAGGGCAGGGGTAGCAGGAAGCTGTACCATGGAAGGAGCTGAAGGATGCTGTTTGTGGCTAGCATAGGAGCTCAGGCCAATGGGGAATCATCAGAGTGGGCAGAGCTGCCTCTTCTGTCCATGGATAAAGACTGGTGCAGTGAGAATAGGTCAGAAGTAAAGAGGCTGAACCAACACAGGGAGGGTGAAAAGTAGAGGCCTGAGAGGTTCTGCAGGCGGTTTAGCAGAGCTTGGCTAATGCTTGGGTGCTGTGGGGTGGGTGAAGAAGTTGGGGCCAGGTTGACTGCTGTTTGGCTAGCTTGGTACATGTCATTGCCACTGAGATGGCTGAGAGACCCAGAAGAGTTCAAAACGCCCATGGGACTTGTAAGTGGGCCCTTGCCATCAGTAGTCAGAACAGAGCTCTGAGGCTCAGCAGCCAGATGTTGCACTGGCATAGAGACCTTGGAGTCACTGGCATGTTGATGTAAAGACTCAGGTAGAGTCAGAGGAGGGTAAGACAAGGAGCATCACTTTTAAGGAGTCAGTGTGTCTAGGACCTACCAGGTCCCTGGGTGCTAATGGCTCCTCCTTGATGGAGAGCACTGTCCAGTTCCCACACAGGCAGCCCCAGACATGCCCAGTGGGTCAGCTGGGAAACAAAGCTGAAGTCTGTGCTCTAGTAGGAAAAAGGATTGAGCTGCTGTTAATCATCACTGACCACAGGCCTCACCTGCTTAAAGAGGGGAGACATTCCGATTTAAAAGCTCTGAGTCCAAAGGCATCAGGTTGTTGGTCTGTGAAACACATTTATAGTAAAGCAAAAGACTGTTAGGAAATCCAATGACAGCTTTCCCTGAAAACACAGGCACATACATATGTACACATACCATTTCCTGCCCAGAGTGAGCACAGGTACCTTTTTGCAGGGAATGTTTTAAAGTGAAGCTCATCACAGCAAGGAATGGATCCAACTAATTGTTGCTGAAAAACCTAGACCCTTCTGGGTTTTTCTAGCCCTCAGTGAGCAGTTAAGACTTGGTCCCTTGACAGGGTGCTCATGACAGGGGCCTTTACTCTCCTAACATCACTCCAGAACCAGGGCCTTCACCCCCTTAACTCTGTTGGGCCTCTCAACACAGCAGCCCCAGAGTGCCCAGAATTCTGTCTGCTGCCCTCACAGCCATCTGTCAGGCAGATGATTTGAGATGCTCTTGGGGTCAGAGAGGTGTTAAATGTGTACCATGGCATGTCCTGACATTGTCCCTAGTATAGGTGGAGCATCAGAGTAACAGAGACTCCTATTCCTGTGGCCTCCAGTGGTCACAGCATTGACTGCTGGAGCCAGAAGGCCCCAAACACCATGGAGCCTGACCTCAGTTTATCAATACATGGGAGACCTGCCCAATTGGTTCAGTGAGCATGCATGTTCATAGGACTTTAGGGGGCTCTAGAACAGGCCAAGTCCCCTCATATACCCTCTCCCAGCACCCTGCACTGGCCCTTTGAAGCATACATCACATTTATCTTTTAAATGACCAGGGGGTTATTTATTGTCTTTTTTCCCACCAGTTCCACAGGGACCGCATCTGCCCAGCAGAGTCTTAGTGAATGCATAAGTGAACAGGATGCTCTTAGTAAACATTCGAGAACTTCGGTGGCGCTACAGTAGGAATACAGTTAGGGGCACCCCTCCATCTGCCTGAAGTCTGATGGGAGAATGGGTCCATGTACATCAATGCTGTGGTGTGCAGCACATGGGGCCCTGAGGATGGACGGCCAGATCCCAACATTTGGGAGGACTGGCAGAGGACAGAGGCAAGTGTGAGGGATAATGGAGGTCCCAGACAAAGGGAACAGCCACTGCCTAGGCAGAGAGAAAAGAAGTGGAAGAGCATTTGGGGGGAACCTTGCGTGGTTCCCTGTGTTGGAGTTTAGACCACAAGTGGCCCAAGGCAAAAATGGACAGGTGTGCCAGGCCTAGATTTCTAGGGCATTTTGTGGCAGGCGAAGAGACCTGGTTGTGTCTTGAAAGTCGTGGCAGCCACAGAAAGCTTTCAGGCCAGGGCCAGGGTGTGTTCAGATGTGTGTGTACCCAGATTGCCCCACCCACAGGGTAGAGGGTGGATTAGAGGAGAGGGGGCTGTGGTAGGGAGACATTCTCAGGAGACATTTGTGACCACTTGATTAAAATAGTGATGACCAGGATCCCATCACTGGGGGTGGAGATAAAGAGCTCACAGGAGATGTAGAGGAGGGTTTTCCTCTTGACTGGGTGGCTGTTTGGATGGGGACTGTAAGCAAGGAAGGAAAAACACCTCTCTCTTTTCTCTAAAGATTGGCCCATCTGGCAGACTGGAAGTGTTCAGCTTGCCTCTTACTGCAACCTGGCTGTATACTGTACTGACTCCTGTAAGCTGTTCTTGCCTCTCACAAATAAAGAATCATAAGATAGGCCAGGTGCAGTGGCACATGCCTGTAATCCCGGCACTTTGCAGGGCAGGTGGATCACAAGGTCAACAGATCACAGGCCGAGGCAGGTGGATCACAAGGTCAACAGATCAAGACCATCCTGGCCAACATGGTGACACATCGTCTCTACTAAAAATACAAAAATGAGCCGAATGTGGTGGCATGCACCTGTAGTCCCAGCTACTCAGGAGGCTGAGGAAGGAGAATCGCATGAACCCAGGAGGTGGAGGTTGCAGTGAGCTGAGATCACGCCACTGTACTCCACCCTGGTGACAGAGCGAGATTCCATCTCAAAAGAAAAAAAAAAAAAGAAGAATGATAAGATAGAGATACTGCTTTCATCAGAGAATCTAGGTACCTGCCTTTACATCATCTTTCTAGGGGCAAGTGTCATAGTTTTCTTTTATTAAGCCTTCTGTAAATTTATCAGCCCTGGTCTCAAGTGTATGAAAATGCAATTATTAAACAAGTGTATAAAATGTGGCCAAGAAATCCCATTTTCCTTTTCATCATGTGGCATAATGGCAAGGCACTTAAGAGCACTCATTTCAGTGTAACATTTAAGTGGAAGTGGCCAATAAAATCAATGTCATGGTATAAACTATGCAGAGCCAAGCCTTTCTCTTCACGGATTAAACTGTTCCAGCAGAGTGCATCATGTGGACTCGGAGGGCCACACAGCTGCAGACAGTGGCATCTGCAGGCAGACTCCATTCCTTCCAGGAGACCGGCGTGTACCTGGAAAGGCGACACGTGCTGTCCCCGGCTACCCTGACCAGTGTGCCTCTTGCCTTCCCAGTGTGCTCACTGATCCGCCTCCAAGGTCACCATCATGTCGAGCCGCGGTGGGAAGAAGAAGTCCACCAAGACATCCCGGTCTGCCAAAGCAGGAGTCATCTTTCCCGTGGGGCGGATGCTGCGGTACATCAAGAAAGGCCACCCCAAATACAGAATTGGAGTAGGGGCGCCCGTGTACATGGCTGCTGTCCTGGAGTACCTAACAGGTGAGTGTACCTGAGTCAATCCAGACAGTTCTTATAGTTCTCCAAAGACCACTTTTGTTTCTTTTATTTTGAAATATCTCAAACCTGCAGAAAAGTTACAAGAAGAGTACAAGGAACATTTTCACCTAGATTCTCTAGTTGTTAACATGTTGCCTCATCTACTTTATCTCCCCTCACCTGTGTGTGTGCATGCGGGCATACATGTGGATATTTCTGTATTTATTTTTGGCTGTTGTATAGTCCATTTTGAAATTTCCTCGGTTGCCCCAATAATGTCCTTGATAATTTTGTTTGTTTTCTTTCCTGATCCAGGATCCATTTCAGGATCATACATTGCATTTGACTGCCAGTTTGTTAGTCTTATTTAATTTTGAACAGTTCTCCAGCTTTTAAAACAATCTTTCATGGCATTGATACTTTTGAAGAATCCAGGCTAGTTGTTTGGCAGAATGGTCCTCCAATCTGGGTTGGTTTTAGGATTAGATTTAGGATGAGCATTTTCTTAGGAGAATGGTATCAGAGATGCTGCATCCTTCTCTGTGCGTCACGTCTGGAGGCATCTGACGTGGTTTGTCCCATCACTGGTGATGTTCCTCTTGCTCATTCAGTTAAGGTGGTATCTGCTGGATTTCTATACATCCCGGACCATGGTATTTCACCCAGTGGCTTCAGCAATCCTTGATGATTTTACCTGAATCTGTTATTACAGTGGTGGTTATAAAATAGTGATTTCAAAAATTTCTTTTATTTCTGTATTTCTTAGTTGGCATTCTTCTGTAATAAAAGCTTTCCTTGTGCCCTTCCTTTTTTTTTTGTTTTTTGTTTTTTGTTTTTTGAACTATAAATACTGGTTAACAGATTTTTTTTTAATTTAGTAAGTTATTTCATTACTCACTTTAATGCTTGCATTACCTCAAATTTGATCTTCAAACTGGTTCAGATGTCCTTTTGCCATGTCTCCATCAATTTCCATACATTTCTTTGCCTTCTAACACAGTAAGATATTCCAACCTCACCCTGGACTTTCCTTGCCCTAGTCTTGGACTCAGCCATCTCTCCAAGGGGTCCTTGGTCCTGTTCACAGATACAATCTTATTTTTGATTTCATAGCACTTGTGGGAGACCAGCTGGAAAGGGAGGGAGACTACCCCCATTTTTAGTGATGGAAAAACCAGGCCTCAAAGCATAAAGGACTTCTCTGGAGTTTGTGTACAACCTGTAAGGGGTTGAGAAGGGACCCAAATCCTGCTATCCTGTTGTAATGCTTTTACTGTGTATTGCTTGAGACATGATCAGGTGGGTCGGTAGGTGCCAGGAAAGAGTACTCTGATTCTTGTAGCCACCTCTGCTACAGCCAGAAAGGAGTGACTCAGCAAGACAAAGCGCTTCTCCAGGCAGCGGAAGAGCTGGGTTGCTTCCTGCACTCCCAGCTCTCTCAGTAAGGCAACGTCAAGGGTTTCCCCATAGAAAACACAGCCATCAGGAAGGTAAAGTTTTTGTGTTCTGTTGAAAGCATCTGGGCATGAAAAGTAATAGTGTTAGGTTTAAGAATTTGTACATATTTTGGGACTTTTGACTTTCTGCTTAGCAAAACTTTTATAGGTGGCAGGTCTGCTAATGTGAGCTAAGCATGACTTTTCAGTGTAGATGAGGAAACAAGCCCAGAACTTAGGTGACACACACAGGAAAGCTATGTATAACATTGGCAGTCAGCCAGAGAGACTGGGAGAAGTTGCTAGATAGGAAGCAGAAGACATTCTAGTTCTTGCCTGGTTAGTGTACATGCTGTGTGACCTAAAGGGAGTCACCTAACTTCTCTGGACCCCAATTTTCTTACAACTCAAATGGAGTCAACTGTCCCTACTCCAACTCCAGGATGCTGTGAGGGCCAAAGGGGCTTTGAGCATAATGGGAAAGCTAATGTGCTACACAAACCCAGGCAGCCCCTGGCTCCCGAATGCCATGATGCCTGTTCTGAGGTGTTCAAAGACACTATCATTAGGTCAAGTACAATCTCAGTTTTATTTCTTCCATCTAGCTTTCTATTCTTTTTTGAAGTGCATGATGGAGGAATACCATTGCTTTGTCATATCTCAGGCAACTACTACCTGTGCTGCACATAAATCTGTGTTTTCCTGGTCTGAGCATGGCTAGTTTTGAATCTGAGCCCAGTGCTCCTGAGGTGTATGCCAGCAGTCCATTCTCATGAGGGCTAGAGACCTTGACTCAGTGGCTCATACATCTATCATCCACATCCCAAGCTATCGTGGGTATTGGGAGAGGTCACAGCAGGGCATGAGACTGGCCAGGACAGCCCATCACTATCACTGGAAAAGTAGCTCAGAGCAGATCCTTACTCTGGCATCAGCCACATCAGCTCTTGTATCCTAAAGAATAATGTATATTGTTAATTTTTATGAAGACCTTCCAGCAGGCCTATACTTGGCTGAATCTGAGGCATTTCCTCTGCCTACATGTGGCACTGAGACATTGGCATGACCATGCCTGCCCCAACATGGAGTCAGGTTCAACTGACCTCAGGAGGATGTCCTGAGCAGTTAGTACTGTACCCAGTCACTGCTTGGTCACTTATGTCCTGTTTCATGATGGGAGAGGAGCCAAACTCTGTGGCCATGTCTAGTGAGAATACTGCTCTGTTCCACCCCTCAGAACAGTCTACACACCCACACTGACTTTCCTCAGAAGGTGGCCAGCCCTTAGCCTATTGGGCGGGGATGTGGGAGCACATGGATGTTAGACATTCTGGGTATCTGCCCACTTAGAACTTTGTTGGCCCTTGAGTGTGAAGAAAATGTGTCCATGCCCTCTTTCTGCTCTGCTCTTCAGTTTTGTTTCCCTAGAGGCCTCTTCTCATTCGCTCCACATGCTATCTGCCAGGCACCACCATAGGCTCTGTGTGAGAGCACAGGAGTAATCAGAGCAGAGTGACCTCTGCTCTTTGGAGCTCACACTCTTGTCTGGAAAAGAGACAGCCAGCCAATCTAGACAGTTTAGAGACTGAAAGTGCTGTGAGGAGTGAAAGCAGGTCAAAGGAGAGCCCGGGCTTCTGGGGGGCTTGGAGATGAGCTGGCCAGGGAAGGCTTCTCTGAGGAGGAGAAATCAGCTGAGACCTGGAGAGGTGCCAGCCAGCCCTGCAAGAAGTGGGAGAGGGGCTATGGCAACCACTTACCTGTCCTCATGTGCCTTCTGGGTGCCAAGTCAGCCCCTTTCCAGAACATAGGGAAGCTATAGAGAGGGAGAAGCTGGAGTACCAGCTTTCAGGCAGCTTAGGGTCTGGTCAAGGATGTGATCCCAACATTGTGCTCCAACACAAGGCAGACATCTGAGGGAAGTCCCACCCACTCAAGCTCTCCTTGCTGAGAGCTTTGATGTGCCTGGCATAGCTACACACCGACTCATCTCCACCCCCAAAGGGCTTCCTGTCCAGACACTGGTATAGGCAAGAGAAAGGCTGTGGTGATGCAGGACCACCTGTGCTGTAAGCCGGGTATAGGACCGCAAGTGGGTTTCTGGAGAATGCTTCTTAACAAGTTACCAGAGCTGCCCTGCTTGTTTAGGTGTCACCTGAAGTCCCTAAGAAGGGATTGTTTTCTTCTCTGCATAGCCCAGACTCTTACAGGTGGCATCAACAATTGCAGGCATGATGATGGGGTGTGCCACATGGATGCCCATTTGAAGTAGCTGGGCCAGGCCTCCTACCTTCCAAAGGTACCTGTGGGAGAGATGAGAGGAGTCTGGATGCTCAGTAATTGCTAAGAGGACTGCTAAGCTGCAGCGCCAACCTAGGACTAGGTGCTTCTCAAGCAAGGAGCTGACATCTCCTAGGTGACCAGCTCTGGGGACCACTTGGGGTCCACTGTGTTCTAGAACTGGGCAGTTTTAGAGTATGGGCACTGGTGCCAGAGCTGCCACTTCTTACTTGTGGCTTAGGCAAGTCACTTACATCTCCATGCTACAGTTTTATACTCTCTAAAATGAGGATCACAGTAGCTGTCTCATAGGGTTCTTACGAGAGCATACACATGAAGTCCTTATTCCATGCCTGCACATCATAAGTGCCCAGATGTTAACTATTAATAAGATTAGCATTAAAGTATGAGAGAGTAAGGGAGTCTATAGTAATCCTGTTCCTTTTCTTGTCTCTTATCAATGACCACAGCCTCCATACTCCTCTAATAGACACCCAGCATCCTCTGATAGCAGATGCACCAGTTTGAAGCTGCCTGTAGGTACTTAGTTGGCCAATCCTTGTGAAGTTTATGGAGCCAGCTCTTGACCTGGGGAAGAAGCAGGGTCCCATGAGTGATCTTATAGCCACTTTACTGACTGGATGAGGCCAGGCCTTGGGCTTGACTACATCCTGAAATAAAACCCCAAGGAAAAGAGATAGTTGTTAGAAATATATCTTGCCATCTGGTTTTGGCTAACAATGTGATTGTCCTCATCCTGAGTTTTGGCTTACTTGACTTCAGTCTCTAACCCAGGTCAGATGTTGCATATCCTTTTGGTGGTAGTCACTGGGCTGCAATCCACCCCTGCCTCCATCTCTTAGAAGTGGAGAGAGAGCCCACTCCTGTCAGCAACACATCCTGTTACTGATACTCATTTCAGCCAGTATCCATCTCATTTGGCATTTCTCATGTGGGAAGCAATCCTACAAGCTTGGAAGATTGAGGTAGACAGAGCCTGCAGTTGGCTTTGTCACTTACCTTGAAAATAAGTCCCAAACTTCTTTACCACCTTCCTATCCAGGACACTACAGTGTGTCCTGGACTCAGACAGCTAAAAATTGAGCAGGAAGAAGAGGATAGTAAGGCTTGGCTCTTTGAGGTTCCAAGGCCCTCGGAGCCCCCACATCCTGCTTGTTTGCATGAGTGTACCTCCATTAGACTGACATATCAGGCCAGAACCCAGCTAATGCTTGCTAGTACCTTCTTGGACACTCATGCTGCACTGGGGCTTATGCCACAGCATTTGCT